GTTCGTATGGAACCAGAGACCCGCTCGCATTCGGCAGTCGATCCTGGAATGCCCTAGAAGTGTGGGAGGCATGGGCTTGCCTTCAGTCCTTACTTATTACCGGGCTACACACTTGTCTCGTTTAGTGGATTGGCATGCAGCCCCTAGCGGGAAACGGTGGGTAGACATGGAAAAGCAACAGGCGGGGGGAGGTAAAATACCGTCCCAGCTGTGGCTGGGAGATGCCACGTTTCAGGAACTGCGAACGGGCAACACGTTGGTGGATGCAACTCTGAAGGTCTGGTGTGGCATCCGGTACTCTCAACAACTCACGTCATCGCCGAATCCACTTATGCCCGTGACGCATAACCCAAGACTTGCAGGTGGACTCTCCCCGGGTGATCTGAGGAACTTTGGGGCCACGGATTGGACCTACCTGCATCAATGGTGTAATGGTCCGAACCTTAAACCGCTGGCCGCACTACTCCAAGACCGCAGACCCAGCGTTCTGGACAACTTCCGGTACTATCAGCTTACAACCTATGTAACCTCGCTAGCTGGGAAGGTGCACCTCCACCGCCCACTGTTCCACTTCGAACAACTCTGTGTCGCCAGACAGCATCTCATCCATGGCATAGCGCAACCATACTCCATGCTGCAGAGTGGTGGGGACCAGTCCCCCTTAGGGTTCACGGTACGGTGGGAAATGGAAGCAGGGGTGGAGCTATCTACTTCTGAATGGCAAAAGATCTTCCAATTGACGCACAGAGGGACCATCTGTTCCAAATTCCAGGAGTGCAACTACAAGATACTGTCGCGTTGGTATAGAACTCCGGACATCCTTCGTCATGTCCATGAGTCCATCTCAGGGGAGTGCTGGAGGTGTGGAGATGCGGATGGTACTGGGATCCATATCTGGTGGTCGTGCTCTCGCATTGAACCTTTTTGGAGAACGATACACAAAGGGATTAAAGACGTTACTGGGACGGACATCCCTTTCCAGCCGCTGCCGATGCTACTGAACCACACGAGCATGCCAATTACCGCCTACAAAAGGGGCCTGGTGATACACCTTCTTACGGCAGCAAAATCTCTCATCCCCATGTTGTGGAGAAGTCAGGTAGCCCCTTCACTCCGCCAATGGATAGATAAGGTGGAAATGATTTACAACATGGAATTGATGACTGCGTCTCTGCAGGGACGCTCGGATAAATGTGCTCTCACATGGTTTCCATGGACGGAGTATACGGCCGGGGGGGCCGCAGGGGGTGCCTGGACCGGGGAAGGTGGTGCACCCGCACCGGCACGGCTTTCCCCCCCCACAAGGAACTGACTGAGACCCGTAGTGCCTATCTGCTGGGAGGAGGGCGCACTTCCCTATCCATATGACTACGACTTCCCTTCCCATTCCCCTCCACACTTCCCAGACAGACGACACATGGAGGCGTTTACCCGAGAGTAGGCTCACAAGTTCACTCACCCACTAACCGAGCATTCAGAGCGTTTGGGGAACGGGGCGTGGAGCACAGAGCAATGAATGGAGCTAGTCCACGGCGGCACAGGGGGATAGCGGGTTGGTGGGGCTCTTGAACATCTTAGGAGTGGGTAGGTGGTGTACAGGTCGGAGGGGATTAGACCAGAGGGCTGGAGGTTAACAATGCTTCTCGGTTGTCTGGGGGGAGGTCCTCTGGCGCTTTCAGTTCCACGCGCTTGGTTCACCCCGGGCCTCAGATTCAATAAATACAGTGGCACCCGATTTGATCCCTAGGGGGCTCCAGCAACTTACGTTAGGGGAGGAGAGGGGGTACGGAGGCGTCGGAAGGCACCCCACAGCTGGTTGACTTCTCACACGAACCACTGCACCAGCGTGGAGGGTCAGTGGTTACCAATATGACTTTGGGCCATGGGCTAACCCACTAGGGGGCCGCCTAGAATACGGTGGTAGAGGCTACATGTAACCGCACTCCCCATGCCCCGCTCTTCGCATGTGTCCCATGTGTCCCCTGGTGGTCCCGGGATTGCGGCCTTGGTTGTCGCTCAGATGTTTCTGCGCTGTCTAAGTTCTAGCCCTATTCTTTTGCTAAGACACCATCAAATATCCAGCTGTATTGGCGGCTTATGTGGAATATTGTGTTCTTCCTTCCTTGCCTATGTAAAGGTTGCTAAACATGTTTGAATGTGTGTGTTGTACTAAACGTGCTGTATTAAATAAATGGAAAAATAAAGATTGTCAAAAAAAAAAAAAGAGTTGTGGTGGGGAAAAAAGTGTGGATGAAAACCCCTTCCACCTGAAGAAAGTGGATAGTTAATGCATTGCAAAACACAAATACACATACCAGTCAAGCCATAAGACTTGCTTTTCCCACAGAAATCTCACTTTGCTAACCAGAATCACTTGCAGTAGTGAGAACACTGTTAAAGTTAGATTTCTGTGGGAAAAGCAAGTTTTATGGCTTGACTTGTGTGTGTATTTGTGTTTAGCAATGCATTAACTACTCATAACAACATTAATATACAGGTCACAAATACGGTTAGCAGCGTATTAAAAGATTGCAAATGGTGATGCAAAGAGAAGAGAGAGACAGAGTCTGAGAGACTGGGAGACTGAATGTATCTGTGTGAGGGTGTCAGTTTGTGTAGCCAGGGCCGGCGCTTAGGAAGGGGCGCCGCCAGGAGCGCCGGCCCCCCATGTTGCAGCCGCCCGAGCACTCTGTAGAGAGCCTCAGGCGGCTGCAGCTTTGCCCGGGCGGTGCGTCCATGAGGGCGGACCGCACCACCCGGGCGCAGCCTGAGGAGAGGGGCTGACAGGAGGGAGCGCTCAGCGCTGAGCGCTCCCTCCTGTCAGCTTCCTTTGCTGTAGCGTGGCCGAGCCCTGCAGCTTTGATAGTCCGACGGGTACAGAGAGCAGCTGTCTCCTGTACCCGCCGGACTAACAGGAAGTGCACACTGAGTGTTCACTTCCTGTTAGTCCGGCCTGGTACAGGAAACAAAAGCTCCCTGTACCCGCCGACTATACAGGCTCGGCCACGCTACAACACAGGTAGGGGAGGGGAAAGAAAGAAACAGGGAGGGGGGG